GCGCCTGCTGCAGCTGGGGGGCAGGGACGTGCCTCCAAGGGGCCAGGAACATTGGGGCACCTGCTGCAGCTGGAGAGCAGAGACACGCCAGGCCGTGATCGGTCATCTCGGTTTGTTTCCTGTCCAGGAGTCTGAACGAGCTGAGGGCTCTGCTGCTTGAAGCCAATCGTCACTCCCCAGGGCCAGAGAGGGATCTGAGCCGCGAGGTTCACAAGGCCGAGTGGCGGCTCAAGGAGCAAAAACTCAAGGATGACATCAGAGGGCTGAGGGAGAAACTGGTTGTGCTGGTGAGTGGCCCAGGGATGCTGGGAGGGTGGTTGTGAGGGAGGCGTACTTCCTGAAGATGCACAGAGGAATTCCCCCAAAAAAATCCCAACCAACAGACGGGACGATTTGGCTCCCAGCTCATTGACATGAAAGCACACGTTTTAAGAATGCTTTCTAAACAAACCATAAATAACATTAAGTTTAAGTTTCATGGATTTGACCAAAAGGTGGTGGACTCAGGGCACAGAATGGGACATATATTTTTGGACATAGACAATGAGGGAATTTGTTTTGCTTGACCCTGCAGATTTGTTATGGGAGTTTTGTTTTTCTTCTTAATTGGAAGGGGAAGGTGAGAAGAGAAAATACATACTTGCTAACTTTTTAATTAAAAAAAGTTATACATACAACAAGGTGGCATGATATAGTGGGCTTTATGCTGGACTTGGCATCAGGACGTCTGGGTTCAAATCCCACCTGAGTCACTTACTAGTTGACCTGCATGGCCGTGGGTGAGTCATGTGAACTCTCAGAGTCTCATAATTGTCACCTATAAAATGGAGATTTCAGCAGCAGGATCTTTGGGAGTCATTAACAGTGGCTGAGCAGACAGCAATGTCAGGGGGTCTGGAGGGCACAGCAGCCAGGCAGATGGCAGCGGTGTGTTTATCTAGCAGCTGCATGATCATTGATAATATCCTGCCCCTCAATTGGAAAGTTGACACTGCCCACCCCTGTTGGAGGGCCATGTTCTGCTTTGCATGTCCCTCCGTGAGTTCGGACCACACTGACCCCTCTATATTATCCCCCACCTGGCCAACAGCTCATATCTATGGTATGGCTGATAGGTTCATGTCTAGGGAACAGAAGAAAGTAATCTTAGAAATGAGACCTTGTCCTGACCCACAGAGCTCTACTCATTATTACCCCTGCAAATGAAGAAGGCCGTGATGTTAAGGACACCGCCATCTTTCCATGCCAGCCAGACTCACTAACTCAGAGTCATTCCAGACACTTAACTCCCTTGTCCCTGCTGTCCAACCAGTGGCCAAATCTCATCAATTCTAACGATGTGACATCTCACATCCATCCCCTTCTCTCTACTCCCATGGCTACCAAGTGAGTTCAGACCCTCATTACCACCCTCCTAGGTTACTGCAGTAGCCTTGACCTCCAGGGTCTCCCATCTGCACTCCATACTCTACCAGCATCCCCATTGACCTTTCCAAAGCCCATCACTCTTGTTCTAGGATAAAACACACATTCCTCTGTTCAACCTTAGATGCCTTCACATTCTAATTCCAACCTTATTTCACATTAATCCGCCTCACATACTAACCACTTTGCCATTCTATCTCACACAACATTCCATTTCCAGTCTCTGAATCTTTGCACAAGCGGTTCTCCGTGCCTGGTGTGTACTCCCCTCTCACCTCAGCCCTGTACAATCTCTCATTTCCTTCAGAGGTCAGGTCCAGAGTCATCTCCCACATATGTCCAGTTCTGAACTCCCAGTGGCTAAGGTCTTTTCCTTCCAAAATTGTTTAAGACATTACCCTGTGATGTTGTTGGACCTCTATGGAAATGAAGGACAAACATCAATGAAGTATAAATTCTGTGTGTGTGTGTGTGTGTGTGTGTGTGTGTGTGTGTGTGTGTATGTGTGTGTTTTCCCTCATTGGAATATCAGGTCCTTCAGAATGGGGATTGCTTTGTTACTATTTTTGTAGCCTGGTACAGAATAGGTACTTACTCAGTGCTTGTTGAATGAATGGAAACTGTGGATCATCAGTCTAGTTGGGTAAGAGGGATAGTTCTGCTTTCCTTGGCACCCATCAGAGGGGCTTCTACCCTAGGTATGGCCACCATATGCCCATGAGTGAATCTCACAGCACTCCTTGTCTCTCTTTTGCTTTAGATGATTGACTCCAACCCATGAAACACACACACACACACACACACACACACACACACACACATACACACACACACACAGAGGAGTTGAAAGGTGAGTGCCATTTTGAATGGCTAAGAAAGTTTTCTTTCTCCTCTTTTCACACTGATGAAAGGACTGTTCCCCACCCACCCCACTCCCCCTGAAAAAGGAAGAAGCTAGGGTCAGCTCTGTAGGCATTTTCCACTTCATCCCCACAGGGCAGTGGTTTTAATTGTGTGGAGTTTTGCCCATTGCCATGAGAGACTGAGCACAAGGAGTGCTCGTGTGGTACCACAGGGAGATTCACTCGTGTGCATTGTCCTTCGGCAAGAGGACATGTTTTTGTTGAGTCTTCTGTGAATTCCAGATCTGCCGTGTCTTCAGAGTTGGTACATATGTGTAACAGGCAAGTTTTGTTTATTTTGTGAATGCTATAATTACCACGCCACATATGCTGGAGGAGCATGGAGCTTATTAAACCAAGTTATTTATACATTTTCTGGTCTGCAATGACATGCCCTGAGAGAAGCGCTACTGTAATGCATTGTCCCTGAGAAAAATGGAAATGCCCAGGAAGAGGTGGAGGGCAGTGTAGTATAGTGGAAAGAGCCCTGGTTTTGGAGGAGGAAGGAGGTTTGCATCCTGCGCATGATGCCTAGCAGCTTCAAGTCTGGGAAAGAGAAATCTCAGTGGAACATGGTAGCCATTTTCATGTATGATGGGTTGTCATATGGATGGGAAATTAGGTTGGTAATGTTGGACCCTGGAGGACAGAATCAGCCATTACAGAGAGGCAGGGTCAAAGTATTAGTCATCTCCCTACTAGGGATAACCAAAAGGGGAGCGGACTTCTTTGGAAGGTAGTGAGTTCTCCTTCTCTGAAGGTCTTAAGGAAAAGGTGAATAACTGTTTGCCAGGAGGTTGGCAGAGGAGATGTCCTCCTGTTCAGATCTGCTTTGGCCTCAGTGGTTCGTACACTCATAGATTTAGAGCCAGAAGAGACCTTGGCTTTCACTCATTTTACTACCCCATTTTATAGATTTGCCTTGTAACTGAGATTAGATTTGAACTCAAGACCAGCACTGTAGCCACTGATACCCGTGGCTGGTCTTGGAGATCCCTTCTCTGCCTCTGTGACCTTCAGCAAATCCCTAGTTCCCCTTTCTGCCTCAGTTTCCTCCTCTTTAAAAGGAGGGGGTTGGCTGCGATGATCTCTAAGGTCCTTTCCAGCTGTCCTACTCTATGATTCTCTAACTGGCCTCTTAAAAACAAAAGCCTGCCTGAGCATCCTTGTACCCTCCGGGTGGGCTCATGTGAGCTTCCGTGGCCTCTGGAGCCAAGCTCTGGAGCCTGCAACGCCAGCTCCCCGGGTGACTCTGAAAAGATGCCAGCATTCTAGAATTCCGCTGCGTGGGCGTCGCTCTTTTTCCATTCTGTGTGTTTTAGGGGAGGGTGTGTTAAATCTGTCTCTCCTCTTTTTGTGTCTCAAATCCTATTTTAAACGCCATTTACTGGAGACTTTTTTTTTCTTTTAGTAAACCAAATAATCCCCATCTTTTAATTAGTCTGTTTTCCCCTTACATTCCATGCACGGAGAATGGACTCTATACCTGCATGGAGGCAGAAGACTGACATATTGGACTTTGGGGTTTCCATAGTATTTACCTTTGTTCTTTCTTGAATAGCAACCCTGTAGAGTAGATGCTGCAGCTATTACGGACCTCATGTTACAGATAAGGAGACCAAGGCCCACAAGCAGAAGTGAGTCATCCGAGGCTCTCTTTCTGCCACTGCCAGCTGCCTCCAGGCTTAGGGAAGAATGTGGGGCCTTGTATATTTAAATGCTAAGTCATATGGGGTTTAAAGGAGGTGACCAGTCGATGAGGGGGCAGCGTACCTACACCTTCGTCATGATCACAATGTTCAGGGGACCATAGACGTAGAGCTGGAAGGGACCTTGGAAGCCATCTGATCCAACCTCCTCATTTTTCAGGGGAGGAAACTGAGGCTCAGAAGGTGAAATGATTTGCCGAAAGTCATACAGGTCATAATGTCAGTGGTGGGATTTGAATCCAGAGTCACTATGGCATGCTGCCTCCCTATCATAGGATCCTGGGCTGGAAGGGAACTTCAAGAATTTCTAGCCCAGTCCCTTCCTTTTACAGAGGTGGAAACTGAAGTACAGAGATTTGCCCAGGGTCACGTAGTTAGTAAATTCCTTGAAAGGAGGGATTGATTCATTCTTTGCCTTTGTATCCCCAGTGTCTAGCATAAAGTGGGTGTTTAATAAATGCTAGTTGGTTGGGTTGGTTGGTTGGTTAGTTGGTTGAGTTGGTTGGTTGGTTAGTTGGTTGGGTTGGTTGGAGGTAAGTAAGCATAGCTGGGATAATAACTCAGATCGTCTGCCCTCACATCTCTTACTCCTTCCACCATAATGCCTGTGGTGATTGAGAGAGTGTCTTGTAGACCTTAAGGGATTATATTCATATGAGCTGATGTTTTTATTCTTATAAATTGGAGGCAGAAAGAATGACGATGGAAAGACTGAGGCTGTCCGGGAAGTTCCTGCAGGAATCCAAGCAAGAGGGATGCTTTGCATCTAGGAGATGCCTCTTGGGTTGGATTGATTGGATGGAGGCAGTGCAAGCCTGGACTAGAGCGGTGGGGGTGGAGATGGAGGAGAAGGGATGGATTTGAGAGGTGTTATCACAGGATAGTCAACAGGACTGGATGGCTTGCTAGCTGTCATGTGGGGAATGAAGGAAAGAGGAGTCAAAGGTAGCTCCCAGGTTAAAAGCTTGTAAGTGGTGGTGCCATTTGTGGGGATAGGGAAGGCAGACACAGGGCTATTTCTGGTGGAACGTGATGGATTTGGTTTGGGAGAGAAGTTGGGCCAAAGAGATGGGCTTGGAAGTCATTCTCATACCTGCCTCGAGTTCCCCTATCATTTTACAGTTGTGTTGTCTCTCCCGTTAGAATGTCCTTGGAGGCAGGGACTGTTTATGCTTTTCTTTGCATCCCCAGGTCTCAGCACAGCACCTGGCACATAGTAAAGGTTTAATACATTCTTGTGAATTGATTGACTGACTGAGTCATCTCTTCTGCCAGGACAAAGAGAGATCAGCATCGGACCAAAGGCGCTATTCCCTGATTGACCCGTCCTCAGAGTCGGAGGTCCTACGGCTCCAGCATCGCCTGGTCAGTACAGAGGATGTCTTACGCAGTGCTCTAGAACAAGGCCAACAGATGGAGAAGCTCATGGAGGCCATGAGGAGTTCCCCTGAAAAATCCCAGGTGAGCCCTCCCGGACAGGCGCCAGCCAGCCTGAATCGATAGCAGCACACCCAGGCTATGCTTTCTGCTCACTTTGCAGGTGGTTTTCCCAAAGGTGGTTGGGCCCGATCAGTTATGGCCTGTCTGGCTTACAAATTGTCCCTACCCAGTCACTACAACCTCCAGTGACCCGCCCAGAGTCACACAAGTAGCAAATGCTTGAGGCAGGTCTAGGGAGGGCAGCCATCATCCCAAGTAAACATTCTGGTTTTGCTCCTCTCCCCACTTCCAAAATATCACCCAATACTCAGATATTCCAATGGAGCTGTGATCTCATTGGTTCAAGAGTTCTCTGCCATGATGACCCACCCATGCTTGCGCACCCTGCATAACTAGCAGCCAAGTCCTTCCAAATTTTCTAGCTCCTGGGCTAGGAGCCTTCCTCGCTTTCTCAAGGCTACCACTGAGATCCTCTGTCCTTTGTCCACCTGTCACCCCTCACTCTTACCATATAACCGGCCCTTCTCATCTCATTATTGACTTCCTTTCTACCTATTCTTCTCCAGAACTCATTAATTTCGTGTTGCAGCATGTGCACACCCATCATGCACCTCTCCAAAACATACCTAGAGAGCCATTCTTGGAGTCGGAAAGACCTGAATTCCAGTCTGCCTCTGGCACATCCTGGCTGTGTGACCTTGGGCAAATCACTTCATTTCTCAATGTCTCCAGGCAACTCTCTGAGCCTCTAAATGACAGCGCATGTACTCATCTGCCTTGGTAGAGGGAATGGCCAACACCATTGAAAATGAGAGAAGCCACTTGGCGTTCTTGACTGCTCTCAAAGCTGTATGCTTAGGGTCAGTTCAATTCAGGAAATATTTATTAAGCACCTACTATGTGCACTGTGTTGAGAGCTGGGATAACAAATTAGAAAACTAAAGACAGTTCCTGCCCTCAAGGAGCTTACAATCTAATGGGGAAAGACAAAACATAAAAGTATTGAAGGCATTATCTATCGATGGGGCTAGAATTGTGTGTCTCTTCATTCTGGGCTGCTTCTTCTCTGTTAGGGTGGTCCGAGATGATCTCTTTTAGGAAAATGTTCACCAGCCCCTGGCCCGTGAGTGAGTCATGTACATAAAGAGCCCATGAACTAGAACTAGGGATGTCAGATGTGAAGAACGTTGGCATGACTTGGAGTCCGTGGACTCTGGCTCCACGTCCTAGCTGGGTGACCCCAGGCCAGTCCTCAGCCTCTCTATGCCTCAGTTTCCTCATCTGGGGATAATCCTTACCCTGTCTCCCACTATGGGGAAAGTGCTTGGTAAACCACAGAGATGGAAGCTGCTCTCATTATGATGTCCTAACAAATTGTCTCTCATATGCAGACCATTGGCAATTCTGGTTCCACCAATGGCATCCATCAACCAGACAAGACCCGCAAACAAGAGGTAAGGAAGCGCCCCCTGCCCTGGGCGGTTCTCGGGCAGAGTATTCTGAGCGGAGCCTCTGAAGCCCTCTTTAAAGAAGCAGGTCCAAGAAGGGAAAATACCAGCCAGGCGATTGACAAGCATTAATTAAGCGCCTACTATATGGTGGGCACTGGGGGATTCAAAGACATGACCCAAACAGCCCTGCCCTCAAGAAGCTTACATTTTAACTCATTTCTCAAAATTCACCAACAGATAAATGAGGCGAGGGAAGGTTTTCTTGCATTATGGAAGTCATTGTGGGAGTACTTTAAAAATAAAAATAAAAAATGAAGAGTTGACATTACTCTAGCCCTGGAGGTTTGCAAAGCCCTTGACAAATATTATCTCATTTGATCCTCACAACAACCCTGGGAGGTAGGTGGTGCTGTTACTATACCCATTTTACAGATGGGAAAACTGAGGCTCACCGTGGTGAAGGGACTTGCCTAAGGTAACACAGCTGGAAAGTGTCAAAGGTGGGAATCAAACCGAGGTCTTCTGACTCATGACAGCTCCCTGCTACTGTAGGGAGCCAGCAGGTAGCTCGCTCCCCTAGTGTGTGTAAAACAGAATTCAAATCTCACTATTTGAAGTTGTCATCATCGCAAAATATGGGCCTTGGTCCTGGCGCAATGGAAATCTGCACTATGAATTTGAATCATGCAACCCCTTCAAGAAATTTTTTATTTGTACTAATCAAGACCTTGTTCCATGATTCCGTAACATGAGGACCACCTGTGGGATTAGGTGTTTGGCCCAAGATGGGGTGGAGGACCCTTGGGTCCGCCTTTTCAGCTCACCACATTATCATGCTTGGTCCTCAGCTTCGACCTTTGCTGATGTATTAAGGGTTGTGGGTTTCTATAGTCTTCATTCATTCATTCATTCATTCATTCATTCATTCATTCATTCACTTTTCATAAACATTCTGTTAAGTGCCTACCATGTGCCGGGTGCTATAGTCTTTGCCTTCGAGCCTCTTACATTCTAGTGTAGGGAAACTTTAGGGGCCAGTGAACTGAGCCCTGTATCTGAAGGTGCAAGATCTCTGTCCCTCAGAAGCTATGTGTCCAGGGGCAAGGCACTTTTGCCTCTAATCCTCAGTTTCCTCATGTGTAAAATGATAGGTTTGACTAGCTCCAAATCTATTTACATGTACACAGATAAGTAAGTAAATGCAGGTGGGAGAAATCACTAACCAGAAGGGGCAATCAGGGAAGGCCTTCTATAGGAGGCGGCACTTTGAAATGAGCCTTGAAGGAAGCTAGGCATTCTGAGAGGCTTTCATGGTTGTTTAGTTGTTTTTCAGTTGTGTCCAACTCCTCGTGACCCATTTGGGGTTTTCTTGGCAGAGATACTGGAGTGGTTTGCCATTTCCTTCTCCAGCTCATTTTACTGATGAGGAAACTGAGACAAGCAGGATTAAGGGACTTGCCCAGGGTCACACAGCTCATAAATATCTGAGGTCAGATTTGAACTCAGGTCTTCCTGACTCCAGGCCCAGTGCTCTTTGCACTATGGCACCACCTAGCTGCCCCTCTGAGAGGCTAAGGGAGGACATGCAGATAAAGCCTCTGGACATAAAGGGAACAGCAAGTGGCCAGTTTGGTTGGAATAGAGCATATGCAGACCAGTGACATAGCAGGAAGCTGACTAGAACCGGACTGAATAAAGACCAGGCTGAGAGACCCGTACTTTCCTCTTAGACTAGGAGGGAATCATTAGCAGGCTCATGGCCTCTGCTGGAGGGCAGGGCAGGATGGCAAGGGACCTCAGCTGCCATGTCAATCAGTAAACATTTATTAAGCCCTTATTATATGTCAGGCACTTATCATATGTAACAACATTATATATATGGGAAGCTCTGGGGGGAGGTATCAAAAGAAGCAAAAGACGGATCCTGCCTTCAAGGAACTTACCATCTAATGGGGGAAATGACAATCAATCAATCAATCAATAAACATTAAGTGCCTACCAAGTGCCAGACACAGAGTAGGTGCTAAGTACCTTGGATGCATAAAGGGGCAAAAGATAGTCCCTGCCCTCAAGAGCCTATAATCCAGTGGGGCAGACAGCATGCAAACAAATATACACCAAGCGTTTCACCTATGAGGACACGGAGGTGAAGGGACTTGCCCGAGGTCCCACAGATATAAAATGGCAGAGGCAGGATTTGAACCCAGACTCAAAGCTAGTCTGCTCTTTGTTCTGTATCATTAGCCAAAACATTGTTTTGATTATTAACAGGAACATAGGACATCAATCAAATAGAGGAGATTCATGGAATTAGTATGACTACATGTACCAGGTGCCGGGGGTTCAGTGGACGGAGCACTGAGCCTGGACTCAGGAGGACCAGGGTTGAAATCTGAGGACCTCAGATACTTACAGACTTTGTGACCCTGGGCAAATCATGTCACTCTGTTTGACTCAGTTTCCTCAGCTGTAAAATGAGCTGGAGAAGGAAATGGCAAACTACTCTAGTATCTCTGCCAAGAAAACCCCAAATGGGGGCATGAAAAGTTGGACATGACTGAAATGATTCAACAAAACAAACAAACATGTGTACCAGGCCCCTGGGTCGGACATCAGTGTGTATTCTGTGGAGTAGATACGTGGTGTGGAGTATGCCCTGGACCAGCAATCAGAAGCTCTAAATTCTAATCCTGCTCCTGCCTGTGTGACTCCAGGCAAACCATTTTCCCTGAGCCATAACTTCCTCCTCCTTCAAACAGAGGGGATTTTCATGAGCTGCTTGTGGGCAGGGAATCATGGAACCATGAATGACCTCCAAGGCTCCCTTCTATCTCTAATATTCTATGAGCCCCCACCGAAAGATAGCTGATAATCAAGGCAGGAACATTGGCTACATAAATAAGTCATTGTAAGGACAGCATATGAATGAGTGTCAGGGCACATGACTCACTCCACACTATGGGTAGAGACATCTGCTTGGAGAAAGAAAGATTTGAGTTAGGTCTTGAAGGATGGGTAAAATTCGCCAAGGCAGAGAAGAAAGGGCTGGCCCTAGTAATGGCCAGGATCATAGGATTCGGAATTGGAAGGGCATTTTGAAATCTATCCCTGCCCTCCCTGCCTCATTTTATTTAAAATTAGGAGTAAGAGGGGCAGCTAGGTGGTGCAGTGGGTAGAACTCCAGCCTTGGAGTCAGGAGAACCTGAGTTCAAATCTGGCCTCAGACACTTGACTTACTAGCTTTGTGACCCTGGGCAAGTCACTTAACCCCAGCTGCCTCACCAAAAAGCAAAAAAAAAATTTTTTTTTAATTTTAAAAAAAATGAAATTGTGAGTAGGACTTTTAAAAAATTTTCCAAAATTTTCCCATAGTAAAGAAATAATAGTTGTAGTGTATATTTGTAATAAAGGCAAATAGTTATATAAAATTGACTAACACGGTAACTTCATCTCTCCAGTTTGTGTGACATTTCACACCCACAGACCTCCAAATCTCTCCTGAGAGGAGGGAAGTCTTTCATCATCTGGCTTCTGGAACCAAGATTCCAAGCTCTTTATTTGACATTTGAGGAGCCTGAGGCCCAGAGAGGTTAAGTAAGTGACCTAAGAGCAGACAGACAGGAAGCCACATCTTCCAGATTGACAGGCAGTCTTGGCTGCCTGGCTAACATACAGGGCACGGCCTGGAGGTGAGGATGTGGCGGTCCTGATGAGGGCTTAACTGCTGCTTGCTCTCTTCCAGGAGAAGCACTGACCACAGGAGGAGAAGGTGGAGAGAGGCCCATTTCACGCCCGGATTCACTCGCTCGCCTGGGCAGCCATGCACCCTACCGCTCGCTTCCGGCTTCTCCTCCAGGCACTTGGCCAAGATTGTCCCTTCTGAGACAGGAATGGTGTTTGTAACAATAGTGTACTAACAGATGTGGACAATCCCCCTCCCTTCTCCCCTCTCCCACCTCCCGGCCCGTATCCCACCTCCCTGACCGGGAGGAGTCCACAGGCACAGGTCCTGCTGGTAGGAGCCAGTTTGGCCCCCTCCTATCTTCCCTGCCCCCTCCCCTGTGGCCTCTAGTCTCCGATCTGGACACTTGGGGAAGCCCTGGAAGGCTTCTAGAATCCAATGTGGAAGGTGTCTGTGAGTGTATATGTGTGTGGCTGGGAAGACTCTGGCCTCGGAGAGTCCAGAATTATGAGCCTCGCCACCCCCCCATGAACAGGAGCAACTTGGAGCATGGCCCCTGGGGAGCTGGGCCTCCCTCTCTGCCCGGCGTCCCCTTACCCTCAGAGGCCTTGACCTTGCGAGCCAGGAAACAGAGGGGCTATCCCAGGACAGCTGCTGTTCTTGAAAGGGCATCTGGGGTGACAGGAATCCCTGCACTGACTCCCAGCCCACCAGGGGAGACCAATGAAGCCGCCGGCTGAGACAGAAGGATTGGAGTGAGCAGTCTGTGGGAAACTTTCCTCCCTGGGGGTCCCCTTGCCCCCTTCCTCCCTGCTGTGTGATGCCACTCATGGTACCAAGTCCCCTCCTCAGCCAACCTCGTCTACTTTTCATACATGCCATTCCTCCATTCAGAGAAATTTACTGTGTTATGGTGAGTTACCTAACTCCCTGACTTCCCTTTTCACGTCTTAAGCCCTCCCTGGTCCTCCACGCTTAGCTTCCTTCAGCTGTTGGCACGAGCTTAATGCTAGCCGGCTGGTGGGTGAGAGAGATGGCATTGTAGATGCTGGTGGGCCAGCCCCGTGACCTTCCTTTGGCCCCCTCTGCTAGCCTGCAGCTGTGAGCCCTGGGGCGTGGGTGGACGTCCCAGCTCTTAGACTTAGGAAGAAGTCCTCAGTAATAGAGAACTGGGAGGGAAAGAGATGTGCAGACATCGGCCTCTATAACCCATCCCTCTGCCCCCATGGTAGGCTGGCCAGAGGACCTAGGCTGGGGATGGAGCCGGGAGGAGCTGAGCCAAGATTGGCTCCCACTGCCATCCCGTGATGCCGTCAGACTTGTTCTCTTGGGCCTAAGCCGGCCTCACACTGGTCCCAGCTCCTCATGAGGAGCACCAGCATCCTCCCCCTCCCATTTGTTCCTTTCCTTGGAGCTGAGGGAGGACAGCCCCCGTTGGACTCCCCAGAGCTTCAGTTGTCTCTCTTGCTAGACAGAGCAGCCAACTGAGACCCCATCCCCGTAGCTTGGGGATGAGGCCAATCATACCGCCCTTCCTCTGGAGCTGGAAAGAAGCCAGAGGCCAGCTACTCCAGCCAGCCCATTATGTAGATGAAGATACTGAGGCCCGGGAAGATTGTGACTTGGGATCATGGAGGGCCCTCAGAAGCCAACCTCTCATAGAGAAAACTGAGGCACAGAGAGGTGCAGGGCAGGAAGGAAGTTGCTGCCTAGACTGGCTGATGGACATCCAGTTGTCCATGGATCCAACAAAGGGAGACATGCTAGGCTTTAGAGCGGGATGAGACCTCAAAGGTTCTCTCATCTAATCCCATTCTGACAGGTGGATGAACGTAAGCCAAGAGAGGGGAAATCATTTTTTCTAAGGTCACTTGGAGAACGAAGGGCAGAGATTCGAACCCGGTCCTCTGACCCCAAATCCACCCTCCTTTGTGGCCTCAGGTATAAGCTAGCACAGTGATGCACTAACACATGCTCATTCCAGCTTTTCCCAGCTAGGAGGAAGGCAATGCCGTGGAACATTGTCAGGGTGGGAGGCTGGGGGTACTCCATGCACTTCTCTCCCTCCCTGTCCCCATCACTTACCCATCAGCCAACTCAACCGGACCAAAATCAGGAGCCTGGCCCTGGCCAGAGAGACCCGAGTTCAAATCTCAGGCAGCAACTATACGGCTCTGATTTGGTTCCCGTCCGAATCTGAGGGAGAAATCTCTCGGGCCGCATTTCCCTATGAGCTTCAGAGAGACCCCCGAGGCATTGCTGTCTGTGCGTGTTCTGCTGGGGGTTTTGTGGGTGGATGTGACATTCCAGAAAAGAGGCTTCTTCCCCTCCCCTTAAAAACAAACATCCTGACACATCAACATCTACAGGGACAAAAATCCATTTTATAAACATTCATTTAACACTTGTTGTATACGCGGGGGTTTCCTTGTTGGAGATTCCCCATTGTAGAGAAATCACAGATCTCAAAAGCAGAGACTAGAGGTCTGGTCTTGGAGTGAGGAAGACTCAGGTTCGAATCTGCCTCTGACACTTAGATCCCATCTGTGACCCACAGGCAACTAACTCCCCAGAATCTGGGTACTAAGTCGCAGATGAGTTGAGATCTGTCCTAGTGAGGGGAGTTTCCACAATGGGAGTGTACTCTGACAGCATACATCCTTCACATACTCAAGCCTGTGCAACATACCTACAGATGCATGGATACACCACCCAATGGCCTCCTTCCCCAGGACTCTGAGGCGCTAGATTTCCATTTGGTGTCTGTCTCTGGCTTGAGACCCCACTCACACCCCAACCCTGGGTTCTAGGGAACCAGCCCTCCCAGGACATGGGGAGATGACTCCTGTTTTTTTCTGTCCCACGAGGTGTTTGGGTGACGGCTGGTGTCTCCACCGACGGACAGCGGCCGGGGTCACCGGTGCCTGGATCTTGGTCCTTCAAAGCACTAACCAGCTCTTCCCCAAGGCCATCTTGCTTCTGTCTCTGTGCTCTACAGGACCCTCCAATAGCAGGGCAGCCAATTAAATAACCAAAGTTCCCAGCAGGCCAGCACTTACCCGGATCCTCTTAGGCTCATAGGGGTTAGAGCTGGAAGGACCCCCAGATCATCGAGTCCAGAGAGGTTGTGACTTACCTTAGGTCACACAGGTAATAAGTCGACGAGCCAGACTTGAACCCGGGTCATAGAGGGGATGACAGAATTAGAGCTGGTTGGGACCTCAGAAGCCAACTCGTCCAGATAAGGAAACCGAGGCCCAGGTCACACCAGTAGCGAGGCTCCGACTCAGGTCCTCTGACTTCCAACCCAGCTTCTCTCTGCGCTATAGTCCAGGTATTCTGCCTCCAAATCCTTTCTTTGATACCAGGTTGCCTCCCTCGTAGGATTGCCAGGGGACCAAGGCCAGTAGAATAAATACCCCTCCTCCAGCCATGCTGGTCCTTGCCTCCCCTCGCTAAGAACAGTCTTCCCCCTGCTTGTTCACTGCTGCCTTCCTGCCGCGTAGAACCTCAGTGAGACTTGATGACACCCCTACTCCCTCTTCCCTTGTCCCCCTGTGACGCAATGGGACAGGCCCATTGCGGGGTCCCGGGCTTCCGAGCCAGTAAGGGCCTTCGCATCATCGAGTGCGCATCTCCTCATTGACTGGGGGAGGAGGAAGCCGAGGTAAGAGTGATCATGAAAATCTCCTTTAGTATCCCAGGGCTGCTAGGAAGGTTACGCCCCAGGAACTGTGCCCAGGTAGGTACCCTGTCGGATGTAGAAATATGCCCCCCATGTCTGGTGCAGGTTGAGCAACACTAGAGAGTTCACACCCCCTGCCCCACCTGGATCTTCTATGCTGTTTTCAGTTAAAACAGCGACATATTTAGGAAACTTTTAACACCCTAATCCAAGCTCAAATCCTCTGTTACTTTCATCAGGTTCTGACCACTCTTTGCGACCTAGGAAGGGAAGGGTTAACTCACTAAAATCTCGTAGACTTCCTGTCAGCAGAATCATGGCGGCTGTGGATGGATGGGTGAGCTGGGGCATAGAATAGGGTGGGGACCTCTTACCTGGGCCAGCACAGTGCAAGCCAGTCGCTTAGGCCTCTGGGGTAGGGTTGTGTCTGACTCAGAGTCCTGGAGAGAGAGAGAGAGAGTTGATTTCTCTGATAATGTCTGTTTGGGGGTCTAGTTTTGTCTTGTTTGGGTCTTCCTCTGTTCAAATGTTGTACAAACTGATGAGTTTCAGACTGTCAGTCGGGTCTGTTACCATGGATCACAGCCTCCCCTTATCCCTTCCCTCCCTCCCCCTTCCTGAAACTTGAATTGATAAAGTGTGGTGAGTTCCTACTAAGAACAATAAACTTGTGGCTGAGGTCTGGGACCCACTGGCCTGAGGCAGCTGCTCCCTTTTCTCTGGAGGTGGGATCTGGAATGTGGAAGATGCTGGGGTCACAGCGGACCTCAGCCCAAGGCAATACCAGAGAGGCAAAGTTTGGGTCGATTCAATTAAATATTTATTAAGTGCCTTACATATGCTAGGCACTGAGGTTGCAAACCCAAAAATGAAATCCTCCTTGTCATCACATTGCTTATATTCTATTGGAGAGGAGAAAACACATACCGGTAAGTAAATACTGAATACTTGCTATAAAATAATTTCCAGAGGGAGAGTGTGCTAATAACTAGGAAAGATAGCCCCCGAGTGATTCTTTGAAGGAAGCTAGAGATTCCATAAGGAAGGGTGCTAGTTTGTGCCACCAGAGAGCAGGAGGGGCTAGCATACTCAGAAGGGATATGGAGAAAAGGACCAGACAGGGGGGAGGGTCACATCAGAAGATAGGAGGTGGGAGATGAAGTAGAGAGAAAGGTGCCCTGACTTCCCATTTGAACTCAAAGATTGGGCTGGTTCCTTTCCTGAACACAGCCCCCCTATTCCTCCCCCTTCTTGGGATCCTGAACAGAGAAACCAGGGAGCACAGGATACATGGAGATCAAACCTTTTTTAATCAGTGACTTGGATGAAAGAAACAGATGTCTTACCCAATTTGCAGAAGACGAGAGTTGGATTTAAAAGCTTGCAGCTGGCTAAACCATTGTTGGCCTGATTCCAAGAAGATGAAATTTAATAACAAAGAATGTAAAGTCTTACACTTGGGATTTTAAAAAAAACAACTTCAAAAGTATAAGATGGGGGAGGTATGACTACATACCAGTTTATCTGAAAAAGTCCTCAGGGTCTCCAAGTTACTATGAGTCAACAGTATAATATGGCATCCAAAAATAATGAATGCAGTCTTGGGGTGTGTTAAAAGTGAGACTGCGCCCAGGATTAGAGACACTCTTGTCACACCACATTGTGAACATTGGGTCCATTAGTTCTGGGCACCATATTTTAGGAAAGATATTGGGGGCAGCTAGGTGGCGCAGTGGATAGAGCACCGGCCCTGAAGTCAGGAGGACCTGAGTTCAAATCCGGCCTCAGATAAAACACTTGACACGTACTAGCTGTGTGGCCCTAGGCAAGTCACTTAACCCCGATTGCCTCACTAAAAAAAAAAAAAAAAAAAGGAAAGATATAGACAAGCTAGAGAGTGTGCAGAGGAGGAAAACCAAGATGGTGAATGGACTGATGATTCTCCCCTTCCTCCATTCCCTTCAGTTGGTAACCTCAGCATTATCCTTCCCCTCCACGTGTTTTATCAGTCATCGGATTTTACCGTTTCTACTTTATCTGTCACATCTGATCACACAGCCACTACCTTAGTTGAGACCCTCATTGCCTCCTAATTCAGTAATTCTTACCCTGGGTCCGTGAAATTTAAAAAAAAAAAAACATTTTTTTGATGACTATATTTCAATATGACTGATTTCCTTTGTAATCCTATGTATTTCATTTTATGTATTTACAAGTTTTATTCTGAGAAGGGGTCCATAGGCTTCAGCGGACTGCCAGAGGGGTCTATGATATAAACAGGGTTAAGAATCCTTTGTCAATTGGTCTCCCTGACTTGAGTCTCTTCCCTTTCCAATCCATCTTCCACATGGCTACTCAGGCGAATTCTCTTAAGGGTAGATTCGACCATGTAATTCCGCTATACAATAAAGTCTGGTTGTCTGCTGTTGCCTCTAGGATTTAATACAAATCCCTCCGTTTGCTTTTAAAATTCTTCCCAATTCGGCCCCAACCTAACTTTCCAGCTTCATTATACATTCCTCTCCCTCCATGCCCTACAGTCCGGTCAAACTGGCCATCCATCTCCATGCCTGTTTGTGGGCTATCCCCCCTGCTTGGAATATATTCCCTCCTCACTTCCCCCTGGTAGGATCCCTTGCTTACTTCAAGCCTTACTCAAGCATCACTTTCTACAATGTAGCTAGTGCAATCTGGCTTCACTGGCCCAGAGTAAGGCTGGCTCTATCTACCTTAGGGTTCCAGGTTCCCCTTGAGGGGTTGGGACATCTTGAATGCTATCAGCTCGAATCACCATCTTGGGTGTGTTCCCCCTACTGTTAGCCACCAGTATAGCTAGTTAGGGGGAAGCACTAGGATGAGAACTCCAGTTTCCTGACACTAAGGTGAGGTCCCCTCTGCTGCTCATGAAAGCATTCTCAAGCACACCATCTTATTTAATCTTCACAGTGTCCCTGAAAGGGAAACAGGGAAGTGAATGTCATCTCAATTTTATGAATTAATCACTAAGCCTTTATTAAGTGCACACAATATTGCCAGGCACCGTGTTAGGTACTAGGGATAGGGATAGGGACATAGATGAGACCCGTGAATCATTTACACCAGGCATCCCAAAAACCTTGGTGTGGTTTTAAACTTCGATAATTTTAGAAATCCAAGTGCTACAAACTTTAAAAAAACATTTTGAAACTTTATTAAAATTTTACAAAATACTTATTTAGTTTTTTGCCTCAGAAATGAACACAGTACCCCAGATTTGGGGTAAATAAATATCATCTACAGACGATTTTATTTGTATGGCCTTGAAACCACATTTGAGGTCACTGGGAGCTGAGGGGTGACTTTTCTCCTTTCTGGTGCCCAAAGGGCAACATTTCTCTGGGGTGGATTTTCCAGGTCTCCTGGAATTCTCATCAAAGAAAATATGTTTGACCTGTGGCAAAAAAGACTTAATTTAGACAAGATTCCCTACTGGGGAAGCCGTGGAAGGAAGTGGTGGTTATTGAGCCCCCGAGTAGGACCTCCTCTGGACGCATAGGTTAGTTTCCTCATCTATAAAATGGGGGGGCTAGAGTGGATCACCTCAGAGGTCCCCTCTAGCTCTGAATCTGGGACCCCATGAATAGCCCCTGCCTACAGTGGTGGAGGAGTATACGCGTGTCCCCCAAAACTCTCTTCTCTTCTCTCTCTTCCTTGGTGTTTCATCTCCTTCAGTTACAATACATTCTTCCACAGAGAAGCAGGGGAATGGACAAGATGACCTTGAGGGCTCTTCCAGTCTGAGACCTGGGGGATGCCATGACAGGGATCCTCCTTTCTCAGATTTTTTTTGATCTCCTAACCCTCCCTGAAGGCTTCATGATCTTCAGGACAGAATTATGAAGTTTTCTCATCTCAACCATTCCATTCCTTCGATAGTTCTGGGTCCTCTTCTGGAATCCTAACCTGGCTCTGGCCTCCTCCAGCCTCCATCACTGCTCCTCCCCATCACAGCTTACCTTCCCGACATGCTCTCTGCCTAGGGTCGACAGGAAGCTAATTAGCCCAGTCTGGGCTCGGGTCTGAATGGGTGCTGAGATGTTCATGGGGAGAGGGCTACCTGAGGGACCCTAGGCAATGGGTGAACTTGGACAGCCTTCAAGAGATAGTGGAGCGGGGCAGCTAGGTGACACAGTGGATAGAGCACCGGCCCTGAAGTCAGGAGGACCTGAGTTCAAATCCGGCCTCAGACCAAACCCTTGACACTTACTAGCTGTGTGACCCTGGGCAAGTCACTTAACCCCAATTGCCTAAAAAAAAAAGAGAGATAGTGGAGGATAGAAGGGCGTCCATGGGGTCACCAAGAGTTGGACACAGCTGACCAACAGACCATCTACTAGGACAGGCTCTCCTTGCTAGAAGCCTTCTTTGCTTGTAATGCTTCCAAGAGGCCACCAGGTGGCCACCTCGCCCATCCCGAAACTTCAACTTCTCAGCCTTCTTACAATGGCAGAGCTGAAGAGACCTCCCAGCTAATCTATTCCAGTTCCTTCTTCTCACTCTTGAGGAAACTGAGGGCTGGAGGGTCAAACAGTGAGAGGATATTTCATTACACCAGGGTAATCAACAAGTATTTATTAAGTGCCTACTGTAATCAACAAGTATTTATTAAGTGCCTGCTGTGTGCCAGGCACTGGGGATACAAAGTCGAAGAATCAAGCAATCCTACCTACGTTTTCTAAGGGGGGGAGACAAGGACATATAAAAACATACGCGGCTTAAATAGAAAGTTAGCAAATACATATCTAGGCTATCCTAAAAGTCTTGGTGTGGTTTTGAGCTTAGCTTCGATTGCTTAAAACTGCCCTAAGACTTTGGGGACAGACTGTACATGGGCATAGCTACACAAAGTAATTCAAGATAGATTGGGGTGGGGTGCGCCAGCAGCTGGGGGGATAAGGAAAGGCTTAGTGAAGAAGATGGTGCCCGAGCTGCATGTTAAAGGAAGGGAGAGACTGGATGGGGTGGAGGGATGGAGAGAGTACATTTCAGGCATGAGGCACAGCTGGTACAAAGACACAGAGATGAGGGGTGGCGTTCAGGTTGTAACAGTGTGGGAATGGGAGAAATGTCCACGGAGGTTAGAAAGGTCGGTTGGGTAGGGTAGTTAAAGCTGGACAGAAGTGTTTATATTTTATCCTCCAGGCAGGAGGAAGTCACTGGAGTTGACTGAGTAGGGGAGTCATATGGTCAGATCTGTGCTCAAGGAAAAGTACTTTGTCGGCTGTGTGGATGGACTGGGGCAGGGGTGGGGTGAAGAGAGAGTTGAGGCAGGGACACCAATTAAGAGGCTATTGCAACAGCCCCAGTCGAAAGGTGAGGGCGGCTGTGTGGAGGAGAGAAGGGGGCAGATGGTGAAATCTATTGTGAAGCTGGAGTTAACAAAGTTTTGTGGTTCGATGGGAAGAAGGCTGGAATGGGAGTCAAAGGACCTGGGATCCTATCCTGCCACATGATTGCTAAGGTTTCTTCAACTCTGGATCTATGATCCTACAACCATTCCTCACTTTCAGGCTGAGGGATGGATTAGGTATAAATTCAAAATCCCCAACTCTTAACATCAAAAAGGGCTCCTTTTGTTGTTATTCAGTTGTTTCAGTTGTGTCTGACTCTTCATGACCCCATTTGGGGTTTTCTTGGCAGAGATACTG